CTATGAAAGCAACTTTTTTATATGTTTGATTTGTAATTGAATAAAATAGTTACTCACTTTATGTAAACTATTTATAATGATGTTTTTAAGAAACTTTTCTTACCCTGTAAGTGACTTCTGACACACTTCCAGCTGCTCATGTAAATGAGGTAGAAGTTGTCCCATTGTCTCATCTCCAACACAACAGTTAATGACGTTTGGGTTCTCATGAGCTCGCTGCATTATTTTTATCCATGATTTGTCAATGTTCTGAAAACGTTTTGCTTCCTAAATATGACAACTGAATTAATATTTTCACTCCACCCTCAACTTCAAATTACTGCTTAGATAGCTTAAAAACAGACAAACATAAAAATATTATAAATTTACCTGAGGTAACTGTTTTGCAATATCTCCACCTACAAAAACAGCTTCAAGATAAACCCAGAGGTTTTGCACAACCAGCCATTCTTCAATGATATCGCTGGAGGTGGTTAGTTTGTAAACCCAGTTCTGAATTTCTTTTTTAAATGGTGTATTGTATCTAAAGCCATGAACAAGAAATGAGAAAAACTTTAAACGTAAACTATTATCAAACTATCATAAAGTAACAATGTAAAATAATTTCAGAAGGAAGGAAAAAATATGGAACAATTAGAATGTAAAAATTATCTTAAATCTGTACACCAACTTGATTTCACTCAAATGCATCAACACAGGAGACTTCCAATACCGTACAAAAATCTCCCTTGACAGCAGTTTTTATCATCTGATGTAATTAACATTTAATGCTGAGTAAGTATGAATATAAGGTTCCCTCTACACATTACAAGTATCACACGATAAAAAGCTCTCGCCAGCTATTAAGTTAGGCCTCAAAAGTGTTTACTAACTTTATAGCTGGTTACTATCAAGCTTCAGTTTGTATATGTAGTTGGGTCTTCCCTGCAGCTGGAAGCCCCGTCACCTAACAGGGCTCCCAGCCACAGGGCAACCTCATGTCCACTGTAAAACCCCTAGGGATTGAGACAACTGTGATCCCCAGGGCTCAGCAGAATGTGAAACCACCAGGCCCTGGGGACTGAGGCAGTCACGGGGATGCAGGGGCTTACTTCTGGCCAGTGCGGCCAGTGCAGGGGGAGCCTGGGCTTGGGCTCCCCCTGCACTGGCAATAAGGAGCAATGAGATCTAATGCACAATCCCTCCATCAGTCATACCTCCTGCCATGCATATGTGGCATAGCAGGAGGCGCGACTATGTGGATTACATGTTAGATCCCATTACACCTTTACCTGAATTTGTAGAGGGGGTCTAGTAATATAGTTGCTGACTTTAATTAAAGTTGTGTTTATTTATAAATGCTTCCAAACCTTAAAATACCACACAAAAACCATTTAAAATTACCTGTTGCTGAGCAAAGAGCCCAGAATCATTAAACTATCCTCCATCATTGTAATAATCTCTGATGATTCAGTTCCTTTTAACAATAGTTCTCCTCTTCCTTTAAATGCTGAAAAACTGAGGCTCTGGCCTCCCCAGCTTTCAACTACCTGAGACAATTTGGCTTCAATATCTTTTTCCTTGATGGCAGATATGCAAATATCCTGAAACAAAAAGGTTTTTTTTATTTTTTAGATTCTTCACATGTAAATAACATACAAACCGGATCTGGAATTATGGCTGGAATACTCTTAACACATGAAGTATAGAGTTAAGGAGGAATATTCTACTATTTTAACTGAAAGTTCACAGAATTTAAATGCGTTTTAAAAATGTACAGGAAGCAAACCTGAAAATTTGGGCTTGAAAATAGGACACTAGTCATCTAGTTCTGGAGTCCCTTTTTTGGTAATGAAAACACCAGGTAATTTCTATAATATAGTTTCTACATACTTGCCATATGGTAATATTTTAATATAATAAAAAGGCTTAGTCTGTCTGTCTGTCTGCCTGTAACACTTTTGCCCAACTGCGCATGCCCCAATTGGATGTGCCGGCCGGGCAGCTGGGGGCAGGGCCAGCTGAGTTAAAATGGAAGCCTCCAGTGCTGGTTCCCTCCACCCCACCTCACACATGGCAAAAAAAAATAAATTAGCATAAGCACTTTACAAGTCGTGGGGCTAGCTGAGGAAAGGCAGGAGCCCCTCCATTGGGCTCGACCCAGACCTGAAGGGGGGAGGGAGAGGGGGAGCGGAGTCAGACCTGAACAGGGGGAGGGGGTGGAGCAGGGTCAGACCTGAATGGGGGAGGAGCAGAGTCACACCCAAATGGAGTGGGGGGGAGCAGGGTTGGACCCAAACTGAGGGGAGGAGGGTGGG